AGAACTTGATGGTGTTTCTAGTGTAATCTTTCATGCTGAACTCAAAATTCTAATCAGAAATTTCCCATCACCCATGGTTTTTGCGTGCCAGCCTTTTTTGGTATTGGGATAAATACAGCAAAAAATATTACGTAAGCATTTTTGTATAAACCTTATTACATTACACTGATTTAACATAAATTATTTTTCTTTGTCCCAAAAGAACCAACATCTTATCTAAATTCAACTCTTTGTGCTGATTCCAAATATACCATTAGTTTTTTTCTATCACGCAAGATTTTTGAGATACACCTACTTGAAATTTGGAAATGTTTTTAATACAAGGTATGTCCCATAAGTTCCCGGACTGGGTCCATAAAAAAATAAATAAATGGAAAATGTAAATAAATTTGACTGTTTATTATAGAAAAAATATCTGGCAACACGGTGGTACCAATATCGAGTCGGTAGGTGCGCGCGCGCCAAGGTAATTCTAATTTATTTAAAGGTCACACCTAGCGCTGCGGCGATTTTACGATGGAAAAAAATTGAAGCAGAGGATTTGCATAGAATTTTGTGTGAAACTTCAAATATTAGCAGCCGAAACTTTTGAAATGCTTAATAAAGCATTCCCCAATGACGCCCCAAAGAAAACAACTGTTTTTGAAAGGCATTCTAGATTTAAAGCTGGCCGAATTTCCATTGAAGATGCTCCTCGTCAAGGACGCCCAAAATTTCAAAGTACTAATAAAATGTGCAAAAAATCACCCGATTTGATAAAAGAAAATCCTCGAACCACTTTGCTGGAGCTAGAGCAAGACACAGGCATCTCTAAAACAACGATTGGAAAGATCGTAACCGAAGATTTGAAGCTCAAAAAGACTCCTGCAAAATGCATCCCAAGATTCCTCACTAATGAGCAAAATCTGTGTCGGCTTGCAACCTGTGAAGACATGTTTAAAATGACAAGAACGGATCCGGAATAGAAAGACAAGATAATCACAGGCGATGAGACATGGGTCTATGGCTATGACCCTGAAACCAAGCGTCAATCTGCCGATTGGAGAGGTCAGGGTGAGCCTAGACCCAAAAAATCCAGGATATTGAAATCCAGAAACAAGGTGTTGCTGGTCGCTTTTTTGTATAACAAGGGCATTGTTCATCACGAGTATCTTCCTGCAGGTCAAACAGTTATTAAGGAAATGTATTTGAGAATTCTTCGCCGTCTAAGGGAAGCGATTCGAAAAAAAAGGCCAGAAAAATGGATTAATGGTGACTGGATCCTACACCATGACAATGCCCGCCCTCACACAGCGCACTTGGTGACGAGTTTTTTTGGCGAAAAACGGGACAGAAATCCTACCTCAACCACCCTATTCCCCAGACATCGCACCAAATGACTTTTTCCTGTTCCCCAAACTCAAAGCAGTTCTAAAAGGAAGACATTTTGACACCAGGGAAGACATAATAGAAAAATCTCTGCTGGCATTGAAGAGCATTCCAAAAGAGGCCTATAAAAACTGTTTCGACAATTGGGAGAAACGATGGCGCTGGTGCGTTGAAGCAAGGGGGGATTACTTTGAAAAGTTTTAATTAAAAAAATATTTAAAAATCTTACCTTTTTTTTATGAACCCAGTCCGGGAACTTATGGGACATACCTTGTATATAGGCCTATATCACGAAATATATTTATTTTATTTAAAAGTAGTGACAGTGGATTTTCTTCTATACTTTGCTTGTGGTACATCCCTCTTGAGTGTCCAGCAGTAGTCAGCAAGCATACCGGGACTCCATTTACCTTGGTATCGCTTCTCCATGCTTGATATATCTTGAGGAAACCTCTCACCAGGCTCATCGCTAACTGCACCAAGATTGTCTGGAAAGAAATGCAG